CAAAGGCTTTTTTTTCCTGTCTTCTACTTCAGTCCAGGCTATGCTCTTACGCACAGTGTACACTCGGTAAATATTTGTTGAATGTGTCAACATTGTGTTTTGTGCATAGCTGTGAATTATGAAATAAAGACTATGCAGTGAACAGTTAATTTTGTTTATGCATTGTAACTTCAGATTTACAGTACTAATTAGCCCCTTAATATAGATTTTTCTGCTCCCTATTAACTCGTGTGGTTTTTTTTTCACATATAACATCTGGAATTTAGTTCATACAAGTTAAAAATGCTCTCAGTCAACTTGGCTACCATGTTGGCCACTGCTTGTGAAGAGTTAAAAATAGTTCTAAGTAGTCTCACTGTTTTAAATAGCCTCCTGTACTAGATAGAGCAAGTCCCCTTTATAAAATTACAATTGTAGCCTCATAATAACAATAGGAACCTCACAAAAACATTAATGGGCTTCCATGACTTCTTGAGTATATAATTCATCCCTGCAAGAAAACGAAGGAACATATAAGAGTTCTCAAAAGGTTGGAATCATTCATGTATATTGAGTTCTTCCTATTTGTTCAAACTTTATTATGTTGGTAATGGTTGGATCTCGGTAAGAACATGGTATTCAGAAAGAGTTACTTTGTCCATGTCCTTTTGGACTCCTCATATGAAGACAAGCCTAGTAATTTAGTGATTTTTCTGGTGATAAGAACTTTTCTAGTTCATTGACTATGCTATACTTGTGTAAGAGAAGCCTTTGTTTCTCTTCTGTTGGTGAATATATTAGCATGTCTTCCAGATGATTGACCACAAAGGTATCTTTGGGCCTTGGTTTTCCCATCTTTAAAACGAATGAGACTGAATGATCGTTAGATCTCTTACAACTCTTAATATTCTCTTGACACTTAAATTCTGAGATCATATTGTCACATATTCTAATATAAAACATATTCTAATATAAAGAACATTATTTTGCATTAGGCTGCCTTCATTCGTGATGAAATGATGCCAGGAGAATGGGATGTTTGTGTTACTTCTTATGAGATGGTAATTAAAGAAAAATCTGTATTCAAAAAGTTTCATTGGCGCTATCTAGTCATTGATGAAGCTCACAGAATAAAGAATGAAAAATCTAAGGTAAGTTCTCAATATCTTTATTAAAGTTTTCATTTAATTACTGGGTCTGTTTGTTAATTTTTCTGTATTCAAAATAAAGTTATGGAAGATTGTGATTTTATTCATGGAATGTGAATGCAAAGCTAAATTATTGAATACAGGGAAAATAAAAATTGAGTGCAGTTTTTAATATAAAGAAAATTGTGTTCATTTGCTATACCTCCTATGTAGCCTAATTCTGTTATGTTACAGTATTTTAATATTGTTGAGAATATTTGGTGTACAAATATCGTTTGCATTGACTTACTTTTTATTGGGGAGCTACCTTATATGTATTTATATGGATTAGAAAAAAGAATTTCCTGGAATTATCTGACTTGTGTGAATTAGAGTGTGGTGTTAACATTGAAAAATATCAATATTTCTTGCCATTCAACTCCATCAACAGTAGGAAAAGCTTCAATTATTATGATGAACCTCTCTTTGGATCACTGGGCTACTTTGGGAGAAACAGGGACAGAACTGGAGCAAAACCACCAGGTGGATCATACTAATTTCAAATTGGAACTAATACCTGATAAGAGGACGCATGTTAGAGAATAATTGTTTATTTAAGAGCATTAAAAGTGTGCATTTTTGTTGATAAGATTACTGTTCTGTTTTTTGCTTTTCGTGTCTTAATTTCTGTGCTCTTAATATTTAGAAAGTTAATATAAGGTATTGGGAAAATGGGCTCAATTCTGAAGCCTAAAAATTTTGATCAGGCCAAGTTAGAACTTGGCTAGGCATGTAGATGAATGTGGTTGGTGGGGAAGAAGGAGATTTTGTTGTATAAAATGACTACCTGGATTCCATGGAGAAGTTCTGACTTTTTTTTTCTGAGCCCAAAATGGAGAAAATAAAGTTTTTTGAAGTGGGGGAGGGGTCTCAGCTATAAATATAATCTACATTCTTTAAAGTGCAGAAATGCCTAGCATATTTTGTTCAGTTATGTTTCACTGCAGCAATGTCATCTGAACTAGGCTATTTTTCCATAGAAAATTAATTGTTAAGTTTTATTGTAGTCAAGAAATGTATTGGTTGGATAAAGTACAGTACAACTGAATGTTACACATTCTAATAAATAAAACAATGCTTATATAAGTATTATTTTTCTAGCTTTCAGAGATTGTTCGTGAGTTCAAGTCGACTAACCGCTTGCTCCTAACTGGAACACCTTTGCAGAATAACCTGCATGAACTCTGGGCATTACTCAACTTTTTATTGCCTGATGTCTTTAATTCTGCAGATGTAAGTTTAAGCCATACATTTTAAGTGTAATTTTATGTTCACAGACATCTGTTTTCAAAGCGCAGAATGTAGGTTGTTATGCTAGGGTAGCAAACTTTATTGAATGATTTAAGGACTTTGGAGCTTGATTTTCCCCATTACAGATACTGCGTGATAATAAAACATACCAAGTTCAGCTATCCATTGGTTTGTATACCTTATCTAGCTTTTGTTTGTTTTTATTTGATAAGATTAACATTTTTATTAGCATTATTTTTCTTTGATTTTTATATTCATACTCCTTAACTAGATGTGAGATTACTATGGTATAGGGAAGCCTAATAAATGCCTTTTGAGGAAAAAAATTGCTGATGGAATTCCTATATAATGGTGTTCAAATTTTGTTAACTGCTCCAGTATTTTACCTGTTTTCAGACATAAATGATAATATTGGCCATCACAATTAATACATTTGTGAAAGTAGTTTTCAAATGGATTATTTCTATATTGGTTATATAAGAATCTATAGAATATTGAGTTTATTAAAAAAACTGTGTACTTATTACAAAATTTCTGCTCCTCCACAGGACTTTGATTCTTGGTTTGACACTAAAAATTGCCTTGGTGATCAAAAACTTGTGGAAAGACTTCATGCAGTAAGTAATAGCAGACAAGAAAATTCAGTAATTAAATGGTATATATAACTGAGCCAGAAAACAAACTTCTGTAGAATCTGTTTGCTTCTTTTCTCAATGTTAGTACTGCTCCTCCCTCCCAACCTTTCTGACGGCCTCTTTGATAAACAAATTCTGCTATATCCTCAGCCTCTCTATTGAACAGGTTTTTTTTTCCTTGGCCCTCCCCCATGGGTAATGTGGTGCTCTCTCTCGTAGAGATTGTTTACTCTCCCATACTCCATAGGTCCTCGGGATGATATTAATATTCTCCCAGTTCCCCAAAGCCACCTCTGAGTCACTGCTTTTCTACTGTCATGTGTAAAACTCTTCCTTTGAGGCCCAAACCATCTTACAGGTTACCCTCCACCCATTCTTTTCCGTATCAATTTCTTCATCCCCAGGTGGCTCCCTCGCCTTCATTCTTTGATAAGAACCAGCTTTCCATTCTTTGATAAGAACTTCTTATATCCTTCTAGCTCTTTCACTCATGTTACTCCTTCTGTACCTGTTCTATTACCTCACAGAAACCTCCAGTCTCTGAACACCTGCTTTCTCTCCCTATCTGTCAGCCCATTTCTGTTGTGACTTCTTTCTATATCCAGCAATGAGCTCATTTTCTATCACTTGAACCACTGTTTGGCCAGTACTACCAAACTCGCTTGCCCCCTTGTCCGTCTGCCTATACCTGCCCTGAGGACCCTAAACTGGAATAATATAATTGTCTGTCTTCTGGGTTTCAATTTTGCTTCTACCACTTACTAGAAGAGTGAGTGACCTTGTCTGTACTTGGGCCGTTCAACACTGATAAAGAAGATTTTGCAACTGTACAGGTTGGAACCGCTATGATGTCATATTCTCTAACATAAGCTGGGATGTCAAGATACTGGTGATCTTTCAACATGGCCCTCTACTAGCCTCTTTCCCATTTCTTGTTAACAGCTATTTTAGACCTTCCTCAGTCTCCCCAGGACTTCTATCCCAGGTATCTCCTTCCCTCCTTCTCCCTTAGCAGATAACATCATTCCTTTCTCAAAGAGAAAATAGAAGTCATTAGGTAGGAATTCTTTGAAGGATGTCTGTCTTCCAGTGATCTCTGCGTCTGTGTTATTTACGTTCTGTCTGAGTGGAAGAGGTGTCCTTTCTCTGGTCAATGGCTAATTCTCCCATGTGAGCCCTGGATCTCATCTTTTCCTACTTCCTTATGAACTTTCCCCCATGACGTATCCTTTTAATTGTCTACATTTTCTACCTCTCCCTCCATATTGGCTCTTTTCCCTCAACATGTAAATATGCTCAGGTATCTCTCATTAAATCCAAACCTAAAGCTGTACACATCCACTCTCACACAAAACAGTGTTCCCTCAACACAGTCCCTCTCTAGCTGTCATTCTGTTTTCTTCCCTTGATAGCTAAACTTCTTGAAAGAGTAGTTTATCCTCTCCATCTCTACCACCTATAATCTCCTAGTCATTCTTGAACTCACTGGCCACTGGCTTCTATCCATACAACTGAAACTTTTCAAGATCTTCAATGACTTTCCAGTTGCTGAATTCAGGTTACATGTTTTGGTCAGTATCTTGGCTTCTCTGTACTATTTAACAGTGCTAACCACTTCTGCTGGAAACCCTTTCCTGTTTGGTTTCTAGGATACCATTCTCTCCTGGATTTGCTTTTACATCTTTGGCCACTCTTATTCCCTTTTATGGGTTTTTTTTCTCTTTCTGTCCCTTCAAGTTTAGCATTTTATAGGGCTTTGTCTTTGACTTTCATACATGTTCTCCCTGGGGATCCATTCCCATCATTTCGCCTCCCACCTATATATACTGAGAACTCCCAAAGTTACCTTTCCGTATCTCTCTCCTAAGCTTCTGTACTTTCATATATCACTGCCCTCTGAGTCTTTCTGCCTAAGTGTCTCGCTGGCACTTGAAACTCTTAAGAATATATCTTAGACAAGTTTAAGAGACCCAAACCAGAAGCCAGAAGTTTTCTTTTACTCTTCCCTTTTCCTTACCTCCCATAGATATCTAATCATAATAGCTACCATTTATTGAGTGTCTACTGCAGTTAAGCTCTACACATGTACTACTACAAATTTCCATAGCAGCCTTGGAAATAGGTATTATCCCCATTTAAAAATGTTTGGCATATACACATACCATAAATTATTTTGGATGAACAGATGAGGAAACCGGCTTGGAACACTTAAGAACTTGCCCAGGCTCATGACAGCTAATTAGGAACTGAGCTGATTTTTAGAATAAGCCTGATCTGGGTTTAAGTTCTGCATCTACCACTTAGTAGCAAAGTGACTTTTGTGAACTCACTAAAGTTGAAATAATCACATTTCTGTCAAAGATTTATTGTAAGGATTAAATACTATATGTGAAGGTCATAGTGCAGTATCTGGCATATTGTAGATAGGTACTCTATAGATTGCAGCACTATGATTTTCTTGTGATAGAATCTGTCTTTCATGTATACACTGATTATTTCATCTTTTTTTCTGTTCATCCATATCTTTCTTCACATTGAATTGTTTTCTCCTCATTCATATATTTAACTACAGTCATGCCCTGCATGGACATTTTGGTCAATGATGGACTGCATGTATGACCATAGTCCCATAAGATTATAGTGGAGCATATATAGAAACCAGATACATGGCATTTGATATTGGCATTGCAGATCAAGTAGGGAAATGATGCTGGGATATTTGTTTTTCCATACATATATAA